CTCGCACCTATACAACAACAACAACAATAACAACATGATGGTCAGGTTTACTCCTTAGGTTGTGCTAAAATCCAGAAACAGCGATTACATTCTTAGATTGCCATTCGTGCGCTGAGACTCACTGAATAAACAGCTTGGCCTTCTCTAAAACATTTAGACCCAAGTGCTTTATAATCATGTTTTACCACAGCAGGATCAAAATCAAAACATTTCTCCGCTGTTTGAGGGTTAAAGTTAAGACTGACAATTTGAGGTTGGAAACTATCAACCTGACAATATTGTCTCATCTTTGGTTTTTGTAAAAAATAAGTCCTGTTCTGAACATGTCTCAACATCAAATCCCATTAAAAGAAAATAAGAGATTTAGTTTGTTTTAATTTAGAATACGTAATTGTTTTTTTTTGGACAGCCACATTAGGTTGTGAAGAGAAATGAGGACTCAAACACTGGCATCGATAGAACTGCTGCAAACCGTGAGCTGAAACACTTGCCTGAGGTCGCAGCTTGAAGGATTTGTTCACCAAAATTAAAATTCTGTCATCATTTGCTCCACCTTATGTCATTTCTAGCTAATCAGACTATGGAAATAATCTGGTCACACTTTACGATAATGTTAGTAAATATATTAAGTAACATCACCAAATACAACAATATTGTAAAGTGTTACCAATCATTTTCAGAAAATACGATACAATCATGTCCTTTAACTGAAAGTCTATTCACCCAAAAACTGAAGCTTTAAAAGATTCACGAAGACAAACTGATTAAGTCAACACAGGCTCATTCTGAAAACGTAGTCCCGCGGACGTTTCTGGAGACCGCAAAATATTTAGCTGGATGTACGTATGGCTGCATTTCATTTTTTAAGCAAATGCTTTGGGGAGGTATGACGCAGTTCCTTTTGGCGCTTACCGGCTGACCGCTTACCTCCATGTGGAGGGCTTTCCCACCGCAACCGTTTTGTCCAGTTAGCTCGTCGTGTACGTCGGCGGACTTGAGATGCAGAGAGGAGTTGACGATGACCACAACCGGGTTCGAGTCCAGGGAAGAGCAGTTCCAGAAATCAGGTAAGACAAAAACAAAATCCAAAAAAGAAAACTAACGAGTGAACAACAGGGTGGGGATGTGTCCGAAAATTTTTTTTTTTTTTTTAGGGAAGTAAGCGAGCGGGTGGGTCAATCTGTAAAATTGGTTGGGGTTAGGGAAGGAGGACGGTGGGTCGTTCTATTGGGGGGTTGCCCATTCAATCATTCAGTCAGTCGACAGCGGCATCTGGTGGGTTTACGAAAGAACAGCACTCACGAGAGACATTTTAACACACAGCGGCCTCTCACGGATTCGCGTAAAACAAAAACTGCAAAAATACGTACCTCCCGGGACAGATTTTGCGTTCTCCAGAAACAGCCAATGGGACTACTGGGTTGGAGTAAGTCTTATGTGTTCTACACCACTGATTCAAAATAAAAGATTCATAAAGTTTTTGAAGCTGCATGAAGCAGTGAAGGGAATGAAGGGGAGGAGGGTGGTCACTTTTTGGGCACTTTCTAACATTTATGTAATCTTACATTCAGAATTATTACTTCTTTAAATCATTTATTGTTTTAGAAATCACTCTGCACCTGTTAGAAGTACTTCAATATGTTTAGGGCATTTATTTAATATTTGACAAAAAATTTTGATAAATATTTTGTCATGCCAGTAACACATGTGTGTATATATATGTATATGTATATTTATTAGCGCAATAGAGGCCAGCTAGCAAAGTGCTATGTTAGAGCAACCGACTCCCATGCCCAAGCTCAGAGCGCATTGGGTGCAGTAAGAACGGTGGGATTCACGTGGGAGCTCGTCCGGGATAGGAGAGAGGTTTATCGGGGTGAGTGTAATGAAGGCCAGCTAGCAAAGTGCTATGCAGGTAACCCTCACTCCTCTGACCTCTAAAAGTGCTTTAGCAACAGACACCAAAGCCCAAGGTCTTAAGCCTCCTTGTTAGAGCAAATCGCTGATTTGGGTTGGGTGCAGTAGGACCGGTGGGTTACATGTTACATTAGCATGGATAACAATTATTATTAAAACACTCTATAATAGCTGCTTAATCTACAACGTTTGCACAATAAAGACTACTTCATATTTAATCTTAAATTTGCAAACTTTTTATAGTGGACAACCAGAGAGATTAGCAATGTATAGGCTAAACTAAACGCTTCAGGATATAAAAATGTTGTCTAAATAGTTTGAAGCTTACAGAATATGACCAAACATGATGATTGATAACTGATTGTCAGGCAAGAGGATGTGTTCAAGAGGTGTATTCGCTATCTTTGACCAATTTAATATTACAACACCAAACCTTCCAAGATTGCATTGTGATTTATTTGCGCCTGAAGTATTGCCATGTTTATTTATTTTAATCATCTATTGGCTTGTTTTTTTTAGGCTCTGCGGATAAATCTATCAGCTTTAATTAGAGTTGCTAAAGTGGTCAAACGTGGACAGCGATATATTGGTATTGTTTTTAAATAATGTATTAAGATTTTCCACTGGTTTTAATAGAAATGTTATTGGTTGTTCGACCAAGATCTGGCAACAGAAACAAGTTATTGCTCGTACGTCGCTCTGTTATTTCTCACTCCAAGTCTGTACAGCTAATCTTACACAATTCCATATTCAGGGCTGCAAACTTACTGATGCAACTGGCATTGGGTGAGGTAGAACTTCTGCTTTTGAACAATGTTAATATATGAATAAAAGCCCAAAGCCAATTCTGTTTATCATATAAAGCAGTCACGTCTCTTCAAAACCCTTGGAATAAACTGCTTGATACATTTAGATTTATTTTACAATGTCGTTTTCAGAGCTTTGGGTGAACAGAATCTCAACAGAAATATTAACATGTATTGCCTCTTCTTGTTGAAGTTGCTTTGGACAAAAAAGCGTCTGCTAAATAACTAAATGTAAATTACAAATATCTTAAACTGTGTTTTTAGGAAGAACAGAATCTCTTATGGGTTTATAACGGCATGAGGATGAGTATAAATGATGACAGAATATACATTTTAGGGTGAACTAACCCTTTAACTTAAGATATGTTTCAAGAGATGAATTTCAGATCTGATTCAACAAATATTGATACTGTACAAATGAACATCGATCAAATCAACATTGATCTGACCAGCTGTATACATAAAATAGAATCCTTCTGATAGTTTATTTTCCCATGCATAAAAATGCGATTGACAAAGAAAAACAAGCAAAGCAGATGAAGCTGTGAAACCCAGTGTTCTCCAGCCTCTGGTTCACACAGGCGTGAGGGAATCTGGACCAGAAAGGCTATGGTTAAAAACTGGCTGCTGTGATTATGTTGTTGGCACAGTCTATAACAAATGAGGTAGATGTGTGTTCATTATATATTCCCTTCTTTGGTAAAACAATACAAATAGAAGAAAAAAAAAAGAATAATCCAGTGATTTGTTGAAAAAACATCATTTTTCAAGTGGCTTCACAATAAAAATAAGAGAAATGAAATAAATGAGGTATATCTTGTTTTCATAATCTATCATCCGTGTACAGGTTTGCAGGATTTGTGAGGTATTGGGCTGTAACATGACTTTCTTTTCTTCGTTAAATAAAAGCGATGTTGCTGAAAGCAGCCCAAGGTTCGACACGAAAGCAAGAGAATAAAAGTAATAATAATAAATACAACTTGAAATCATCTACTGAATTCTAAAAAGAAAATGACACAATAACATCCTCCCATTTCTCTGCCAAGTGAAAAGAGAGGGGAAAAGAAAGTGTTTGAGCAACACAACAAAATGGAGAATGGAATAAAGGACGAGAGGTGAACTCTCAAATGCAAGTGCATTGTTGAAAACTTGATGAAAAATGAATTCTATTCACAACAGAGATCTCGCCTCATGAACTGATGCCTACGATGAGCCACATTCAGCCTATTCACACCACATAATCTTCTTCTCAAGAGCCTCTCAACTAGTTGATCAACGTCCAGCTCAGTCACATGTCACAATATCTTTTGACCCCCGACTTCTGAAACCTGTATTAACCGGTGTGACCCGTTTTTCCCGTCTACTCTAACCATTCAATGAACACTTTGCTATAAAACACGAGCTGAGGTGCTGGAAAACCTTTAAACATTGTCGACAAGTGTTCCCCAAATAACTCACCAATCAATGGAATATATTTCGCCACGGCCGCAGGCCAAAACCAGTCACGAGAGCAGACATAATCCTGTCTGCTTTCTTCAATATCAAGCTATACATCTTGCACATCCGGCAAGCATTTATGAATCTCCCAGTCTCGTAAACGGGTGTGACAATAATACATTAAATAACTTTTTCTCCCTGACGATTTGATGCCCAAGTTAAATGGGATGTGCTTTGATTCAAATCGAAACGCTTGATAATTACTGTAACTATGGCGACTGATAGTTTGCAATGACATCAGATATGTGTGATGAAGTGGATTAAAAAACATTACTACGTTGCTCTTATTCTCTTTGGTAATAGCTGATAGTAGCTCTTGCTGTTTGTTTCAAGAATGCAACAAGTGAAGGCGAAGAAGAGTTTGGACTCCTGTGCCAAAAAATTCAGGATTGTGTAGGAAAGTGAAGATGGAAGCAGGTCAGTGCCTGTCCTCTGAAGCATCACTGCGCTTCTTGTGTTCATGGCATTGTCACGCAGTTTAGTGGCTCCGCACTGAATACGGCGTCCTTAGAAAAAAACAAAAAGCTGCAACTCGCTGCATATGTAAATGTAACACACTTTAAATGTGCGGCTATTAGCTGTTTTAATGGAAGTTTTTTTTGGGGGTGATGGACGCTCCTGTCCTAATTTGCAGAGGGAGGGTTAAAAAACAGTAAAAAGTGTACATTGAAGGAGACAGAAATAAGTGGTCCAACAGAATGACCTAAAGACCCTGCCTTGTCTGCAGCCGGCCGGTGGGGGAGAGTGAGTGAAGTGAGGTGTTGTGGGCCGGGATGAGGCTCATGGGGAGGTGGCTGGTCCGTGTGAGGATGCGCTGGAGGAGGCAGAGGAGGACGGCTGAATGTGGCTGCTGAGCCCCGGGCTGTTGCTCTTTCCCTGAGAGCTGTGTTGGTGATGGACTCGCTGGCTGCTGGGCATGAAGCCAATGGCTGGCTTACGGGCAAACAAAACCCCTGGAGTCACAGGACAAAGATGGAGTTAGTCTGAAGTTACATTTAAGGTGTTTAACATCAACCACAGAAGCGGCTTGAAAGATAGGTCAGCCAAAAAAGACAATGAAGTCATCATTTAATCACCCTGGAGCTGTTTTAATGGCATTTACCTTTTTGGTTTTTTAACCACAACAGGAGAAATTCAAAACTGGTCTGCTTGCACTCGTCCTTATAATAATGCTATTCAAATGTTCTGGTGGAAAATCAATCAAAGTTCTTTTATTTTATTTTAATAAGTATTATTTTGTAAAAATCAGGACTGTTATTTCCTTGTGTTAGTCCTGAGTTTTATTAATGGGAATATTCTTTACAATTTGCCCCAAAATACCAAAAAGTTGTGAGAAACCAAGATAATTACAAATCCCAGACAAAATAAAATGTAATTACTTTTTTGTCTGAGGTAAAGAAATCTTTTGTGTTGATTGGTCAACTGGTCCAGACATTTAATTGAGTGAATAAATGGTTTAGTGGTGTTTGACAGGGTGTGCGCGACATGTCTGAAGAGCAAGGAGGGATGCGGTGGCAAGGGGTGAGAAGGGTGCGCAACGTATTTGAGGACCGGGAGGGAGACGCTCAATTACCGGGTTATTATCACTTGTCCCGCCCTACTCATAATTCTCTCTTCACATATAATATTTACATATTCATAATACACTGTGATATAACCAGGCTTGGATCGTATCGCTTTCTCACTACAATCGATCTGCTCCAGAGTTCGTTTCAATCGAGCCAAGACCACCTCATTCAGGTGATCTCGGAGCGATTGATTTGGCGTGGATCCGAGCGCGATTGCTGGATTCACATATGCCAAACAAACCACGCTAAATGGGCAAACGAGACCGGTTCTGAAACAAAAGTCTAGTTGTGAAAGCACACATTCTTTTTGAACCAGTGCAAGCATTTATTTTTGCATTTCTCATTTTGTGGACTTCGAAATTATAAAAGCCATATGGCATTGCAGCAACCCCAGGCTGATGATGTATATATAATGACTACGTTTTTATGCTAAATAACAATTCAAAATATACTAAAAATATGTTGTAAAATTAAATTACACATTAAATACTATCATGAAAACAATAAGGTTCATTATTATCATTACCACACACTGTAAACAGTACAGTAACATTATATAGAACACTTAAAACATTTCTGTACGTGGTTCATAATGCTAACAATCACAGCACCCCCTTTATTTTCTGTACATTAATAAGTATCTTACTTTTTATTTAGATCTACTCAAAAAATGTGAAGATGCTAACTAAACGCAAACTAATATAGTGAAAATATGTGAAAACTATTTTTTATTTAAATAATTTTCACAAATTAAATCATTCAATTAATCTCATTTGAAAATGCAGATTTTTTTTTTAACTGATGCCATCACTTAGGCCTGTCACAATAATCAATATATCTGACTTATATCGCACAACACATGGACATGCACTCAATCATTTTTGGTGATGCAATATATATCGCCTATACATAAAACCAATTCTAGCAACATTTCAGCTGATTGGGCAAAATCTTTATCGCTATTGGAAGTGTCAATATAGTTAGAAAAAGACTATAATATTTACTATAAATTACTATAGTATATTTTCATGTGGGTGTCTGACAACTGAAAATAGATCTGCTAGCAGATATCACAGCCTCTGTTGCACTTTTTTGTTAAGATTTATTATTATTTATTTAGGATATGCGTTTTTACATTCCGATTCCAATGACTCATTATTCAGTTGTTAAAATGACTATAATTAAATGAAATATTCATAAGAATAAAAGATTATGTGTTCTTTGGAAGAGCTTACTTGCATTGTTATGATTATATTATGGCATTATATTTTGAGTGACATAAAATGGCCTTAAAATGACAATAATAGTTTATTGCAATATAATTTGGTGCAAATATATTGAGACAGGCCCACCATCACTGATTACATAATGCACAGTGGTTTATTTTGCATATCTGTACAAACAGAGATCAATGTGACAATATTGCCTGCATGCAGATCTTTTTAGCACTTGACTGTCGTGTAAACTTTAAGATTATTTTAAGCAGAACTGTATTGTGATAATCACAATTCAAGCTAAAAACAGGTCTATTTTTATAAACCTTTTACTGTACATCCATTATTTAAATTTGTCATTTTAAACATCACATCGGTTTTTCTAATTTCACTTTAATTCATTTAAACATCTGAGTTTGCGTTTTAAAATAGGCTCTTTTTTGTTCAGAGTCTGATTCATATAGTATCTCTCTGTATATTTTGGTTGTATTAAAATCCTAAACAAAAGCATTAAGTTGTCAGCCGTAGGAAAAGTTCCAGGGCTGTGCAACTTGAACAAACCATCGAGTGGAAAAACGGATGCCACTTCAACTTGATCTCCCGAATTGTTCCCAGCAAGCTTATGAGGCATCTTCTAGTAATTACTGTCTCTCGCACATCAGGCACAAGCACTGTATCTTGCTAAGGCGCAGGGCCTTTCTCTCGGGCACGAAAGACAATAAGCTCCATCGACCTCCCGGCGCCCAGGCCCAATTTGAAGATATTTAACTTTTTTAACTCTATTGGACTTGCCACTTCATTACGATGGATTTTATAGCAAAGACATCAAATTGTGTGGAGGACTAAGCGAGGGGGTGCTGCTATAACTTATTGAATTTCCTGCCTGCAATTACATCAGCAAACGGCGCTCTATTTACCTGTGTAGACAACCCCATTTATTTCTATTGACATGTTGATGCTGCTAATGCCGTTGGTAGACAGGTTCAATGCAGTCTCTTGTCTATCATCTGTCAAGAGAGGAGCCAGAGAGCGAGGAAGAGAAAAACTCAATATGAGCATTTATAAAAGGAACACAAGAAGCAAGAGAAGCGTGCCACCAACTATCGGTGATAACTCATGAGTGACAGGATAAGGAGGGGTTTATTAAAAGAGTTAAAGGGGGAGAGGGAGGTGATAACTGTCCAAAACATTTCCAGATAGAGAACTGCTTCATGCGTTCAACATTACTTCACTGCGATCACAATGTTAACATTAAGCACAATGCATTCATCACATATTTAAGCAGCACACCATCTTTCCAGTCAAAAAAGGAGAAGATAAAACAAGAAAAATCATATCTACAAAAAGTCTGCAACTGTCAGGACTTTCACTCTGTCATTACTCTGTGTGAGGTTGCACAAAATAATATTTAATATAATCTTTAAATTGCAGAGTGTTTGTGTGTGAAAGTCTTGGCTTGTGTTATAGAATTATGTTATTTTGTCTCGGCATATAAAAGAAGCTCTTGTTTTATGGGTTGAATAAGAGACATGAAAAAGACACATTGCTTATGAGAAGCCTGCAATCACCACACACGCACACTGTCATTAAGTTTAGTGAAATCATCAACATTAGAAAAAGCGCTCAGTAGACATTACTTTTCTTCATCTGGAAAATTTCACCAAGAACATAAAATTAAGTTTGACTTTTCTTTTCTTAAGAACGCCTTATAAACCCTTTAACTACCCCACCAAGAAAAAAATGTTTGGATTGCATTTCTTATCTCCCAATGTCAGTAGTTAACATTTATTTATTTATTATATTTAGCACTTTTATTCAACACATCACATCACAAATATCTGCCTCTACCAAATGGTTGAAATTTTGATTTATGGTAAAAGAACCGGATTTAATACATACAATTGAAGTCAGAATTATTAAACGCCCTGAATTATTAGCCCCCCTGTTTATTTTTTCCCCAATTTCTGTTTAACAAAGAGATGATTTTTTCAGCACATTTCTACACATAATAGTTTGTTCAGGTGACTATCGAAAAAAATTAATAAATTAATAATAATAATAATAATTTTGACCTTAAATGTTTTTAAAAAAATTTAAAACTGCTTTTATTCTACTTGAAATAAAACAAATAAGACTTTCTCCAGAAGAAAAAAAATATTATCAGACATACTGTGAACATTTTTTTTCTCTGCTAAACATCATTTGGGAAACATTTAAAAAAGAAAAAAAATCAAAGGGGGGCTAATAATTCTGACTTCAACTGTATACTATAAAAAAGTGAATTTTTTTTTTAGATTTAAAATAAAACATCGCCTTTAATAAGTATGCCATAAAAGATTCTTATTTAACATGTTTTTTTTGTTTTGTTTTTTTTTTACAATAAAACCAAAATCGAGTGTAGTGATGCAACAAGATTATGTTTGTTTAAATTTTTTAAACCAACATTGCTGTGTGTGTAAACCATTATATAAAACAGTCATTCTGTAAATTACTTTAATAGTCATTATTTAAAAACATGGTCAACCGTTAACTTTAACAGAGACATGTTTCTTTTTATATAAATGTCTTCATAAGTGTCAAGAAAACAATATAAAAAAATCCTTTGAAACAAAAAAGTGTTCAAAACTTTGTATCAGGGTAACTATTAGAGTTTTTTCATGAACAACTTGAATATTTTTAATCTATGTCTAATAGTTTTTGTCTATATACTGTAGATTTTTACTGTTGTTTATTTAGTTTTAGCAATATAGTACTTTGAAACAAAATGAAATATATATTTGGATATATTTCCATTATGTCAAGCTGAAACAAGTTTAAAAATGTCTCAAACCTGTATTTGTAAGACAAGAATGAAGAAAGTTGTCAAATAAATCTGACCCATTATCCATAAAAAAACTATCCATTATCTATCCTTCAGTTCGGTTAGGAAAAACTAGTTGACTAATATTTAGTCACGTGTGTTTGGCTTCTACAGCAGCCGTTACCTATTAGTGGTCTTCACTCTGCCCTAATCTACATCATCTGACCCATAATGCCCTCTAGTCTCATTATTGACTCAGTCAACAGGACTTTATGGGTCATTCAAGAGAAACACTACACTTCTACACTACACCGTTTATTATGTATTTAAACAAGCCTACCAACTGCTGCTGTTTCATAAATCACCAATACAGCATCTTTCAAAGAGAACACAGAAGTTTCTTACAGAGTCTAACTCAATCATATTAGAGATTTTTGTGCAACCATACAGTGTATAGGACAAATTTGTTTGTTAGAGTGCACTGACCTCTGTTGTTGAGCTTAATGTTCATGGGCAGCTGTGTGGCCATGGCGAAGAGGTTCTGCTGCAGTGCGTGCTGCATGATCCTCTGCTGCTCCTCCGCCATGAGCATCACCTTCTTCTCTGGTGGTTCTCCAGACTCCAGCTTCTCCCGCAGCTGTTCCAGAGCAGCCGCCTGGACCGCTGCTGCTGCTGCCGCCTGAGCCGCACTGTGATGCCCAGCCAGAGACATGGGGATGCCCACCCTGTTCGTCAGGCAGCTGGACAGCATAGAGTCCTCTGTGGAGCAACAAAACACATCTCAGCAGGACGAACACGTAACAAAACAAATATCTAATCATCCAAAATAGACACTCTTTAATGAATTACCCACAATCTAAAGTAGCGTATAATTGACTGCTACTTTTGTTTTAGGATAATTATTTAACAGTAATTTTCTGTTTCGTTGAGCGAGTTAAAATAGCTTTTTTAACACTAATTTAGCATGTTTTTAAATAATTCAGGTTACTATGAGTGCATTTATTTGATCAAAATAGTGAAAACAGTCAAATATTATTATATTTAAAAGAGACAATTCATTTTCCTTCTCCTTAGTCCCTTTATTCATCAGGGGTCACCACAGCGGAATGAACCACCAACTTATCCAGCAAATGTTTTACACAGCGGATGCTCTTCCAGCCACAAACCAGTACTGGGAAACACCCACAAACTCTCAAATTCACACACACATACACTTCGGCCAATTTACTTTATTCAATTCACCTATAGCACATATGTTTGGACTCTGGGGGAAACCAGAGCATCCTGAGGAAACTCACGCGAACATGAGGAGAACATGCAGACTCCACACAAAAATACTAACTGACTTAGCCGGGACTCAAACCAGGGACTTTCTTGCTGTGAGGTGACAGTGCTAACCACTGAACCACCGTGTCACCCACAGTTTTTGTTTTAAAGTGTTAATTATGTATGTAATAATAACAATGAATTATATATAAGTTCAGTTCCGTTTCCTTTATTTTGTCATTAAAACATCACATTAGATAGAAATGACGTCACGTTAACACCCAGCAAGAATATAAAAAAGCATCAGAAAACAATTTAACAACCTAATATAATAAATCCGCTTTTGTAATTTCCTGTAATATGTAAAAATGACGTATATTAAATGTAGTTAAAATATAAACCTATTTAAAATCACAAAAATGTGTAAATACTTAAATACATTTATTGCACAGTTTGTTATAATAGTTATGATAAAATAACAGAAGTATTTATTTGACTGGTTATGGACTTTTTATTCCATATTGGCTATTAGAAGGGCCAGACAGAATCTGCAGACATATTTAGCTATTTCTGTGCAAAATTTTGTAAAAGATCTGCAGTACTGTATTAGGAATAAATCATATGAACATTTGCATATTTGCCAATAATATTACTGAAATTAATTGAAAAACTGGATAAATATAAATTTACATATAAATTAGACGGTGCGTCCATAGATTCTGTGGGCCTAATATTTTTAATGGGGTCCTGTTTAAAAGTCTAAGAATTACAGGATAATTAAAGGATGCATTCAAACAAAACAGGTTTATCAAACAGATATATTTATTAAAAGTTAGATTTTAGTCACCAAACATATTTAGAAATTGAAAAATAAAACAATTAAATTCAAGCAAAATACTACAAAAACAAATGACAACCTACAAAATTTCAACTACATTTTGTATTTTTTATTTTTTGCTTCTCTTGATTTTTCCTCTTGTTTAAGTTTGTATTTAATTTTTTTCTATAACATAATTTTGGCTGTACTCGTTTTTAGACCGTTATCCAAGTTGTGTAGGTAGATAAGCTCCAGATTTGGCTTCAGTACTGACTAATCTAATGTATATGCACAAATATAATATTGTATAGCTTCCTATTAAAATATGAATTTAAAAGAGAGATTTGTGAGGGGTGTACGTACACATGCTGAGCACTGTATCATTGTTAGATTAAATCCTTAACAATTATAAAAGTCTTTGTTTTCAATTCAATGCTTCCTTACTGAGAAAAAAAAAAGGTTTTGCAGATGAAAAGGAAGTTATTCAGCATCATTTTATTTTATACGTTCAAGTTTAGAAACGTGCTGCAGTCATACATCCTCATAGGGAAGCATGAGCATGACGAATCATGCAGTGAGCTCTGACATCTATTTAAAGCTGCTTTGTAAACACTATAAATACTGTCAGATTCGTGAGGGTCTTTGATCCTTTAAGACTTGCGTGACTTGTCTTTTTTCCATACGGGCACATTACTGAATCATGATGCAGCCCGTGTGTCTTTGTGTTTCATTGCTCCTGCTGGTGTGATCCGGAAACTGGCAGAGTGGGCAAGAGGAAGTCCTGCAAGCTGTTTCCTGTCCACTCTGATGACCATTCAGGACACAACGTGGAATAAGCGTGAGTAAGAAATGGAAGTGCTATTGTGTCAGGGAGATGACTTCTCCTTTGGAGGTAATTTAGATTTGATGATTTATATAACATTCAATTTCCTGATGAGGAATATCGTTTTTTTGCCCTCCTTCTCCAAAACAATCTAAAGCAAATAGAATGCTAGTACATTTAGAGGGGTTTCCATTTAAATTAGTTTACAGTATAAATCTTTTATTGTATACATTATTTTTTCAACACGGTTTAAGTGTGTGTTTTTTACTTTGTTTAATGTAGCAAAATGTTAATGCCTTTTACTGTAGTTATCTTTCATTAATAAGTATTGATATTTAAATAATAAATAAACAATAATGTTCTATTTGAATATTTGCAGGACTTAAATGAATAGCAAACTAATAACCTAGAGGAAATAGCATCGCCTATAGCTGGTGTTTTCATTTCTATTGTTCTACAGATCTACTATATGAGGGTCATGTAATGCTGCTGTTTTGATTGCGTTTGACACAGTTACATACTGATAATATCATGGCGGTCATTGTTAGTCTTGCCAAATGTGGTCTCGTCAGCAATATATGACCTGTGCCATATGTGTTTATTTCAGTTCAATGGGTGAAATGTTGCCAAAAAATGCACTAAAGTATAATATAGTATAAACCTTGTATTTTGCAAAAAGGAACCAGAATCGCTCAACCTAACCTTCTTGTTTCCACTTTATTAATTCCCTAATTACTTAATTAAGTAGTCAAATGAAGTATTAAAAAGCAGTCAAAAAAACTATGCAGATAAATACTAGAACTGGCAACGTGGTGAAGATAAGGTTCACCATTATCAATCACAGACATGAATTTCCTCAATGACATCACTTGATTTTATATTTCAAGGTTTTCATTCACAGAACTTGTCTGTTCATGAAACATTTATTGAGGTCTGGAGGAGCTGACTGAGAGCCTGAACAAATCTTTTCAATTTTTTTTCCTAAGTAACAAAAATCCGTCATAATAAAATAAAATAAATCTTGTGCACTTTATCAATTTATGCCTGTATATTATAGTGTCAACACATGCATTTAAAGGCTGTTTTTCTCAAAAAGGGGCAGAAATTTCCACTCCAGCACCTACACCAAAATTCTTCTGTTATTCATATCTTCATATCTGGGTAATTTTTACAAAGGTATATACAGTATGTTCATTTCCCCAATTACACACAACATTTTATTATATCAAAAATTGTAAAAAGATTTATTTACTTTATATTGAGTATTTATTTATATAGTGATAAAAGCGTATTTATCTAATCCAGTCTGTAAAACCTTTCAAACTAATACGTCTCTAATATGGCGGCACGGTGGCTCAGTGGTTAGCACTATTGTCTCACAGGAATAACGTCGCTTGTTTCAGTCCCGGCTGGGTCAGTTGGTGTCTCTGTGTGGAGTTTGCATGGTCTCCACCTGTGTGGGTAGGTTTCCTTCGGGTGCTACGGTGTCCCCTACAGTCCAAAGACTAGCGCTATAGATGAATTGGATGAACTAAATTGGCCTTAGTGTATGAGTGTGTGTGTGTGTGTGTGTGTGTGCATGTGAGAGTGTATGGGTGTATGAATTGCTAGAAGGGCATCCACCGCGTAAAACATATGCTGGAATAGTTGACGGTTCATTCGTCCCTGATAAACATGGAACTAAGTCAAAAGAAAATGAATGAATAAATGTCTCTTTTTTTTGTGACAAAAAATTTGTTTGTGCTAGAATTATATTGAAATTAGCTCAAAATTATTGAAACAGTGCCTCATTTTCATATTTAAACATCATTTTAAAAAACTTTAAAAACAAAAATGTTTGCAATTCTTAATGTAATCAATCAACTGGGGATACATGGCTCTAACTATTAGCTATTTCTACCCTATTTACCTGTAGTGTCTTGCTTTAAACTACAGTGACCTGTTCAATTTTTATTAAAAACCATATTGTCCAGACAGATTCAGTGTTGCAAGTTCTGGATGCACTAATAACAACAACAACAACAACATATAAAATAAATTTTGTCATTTGTAACATAGATGTGCTGTGAAAAGGAGAAATCTAACCTTTCTTGATGCCAGGGGTCTGGGTCATGTGTCCGCCATTAGGGGTGGGCATGCTGATATGGGGCATCTGGAGTTTTGGGGATGCCAGCAGTGTCGGGGTGCCCACGGGGGAGTAATTGAAGAGGGTGGAGCCATAACTCTGTCTCCGCCCTTCACGACGGTTGCTGTCGATAGCTGCCTGCAGCTCCCCGGGAGAGCTCAGCCCACGCTTTTCACATTCGTAAGGGTAGAGGTACTTCATATACCTGCAGGGAAGAAACATTCTGTGAAGGACAGAGCAATCACAATAGCACTAAGGATCTGTTTACACTGGTATTAAGATGCATTTTCATCGATCCGACCATAAGTGGACAAAGGGGTCACGTTACCATTCACACCTGCCATTCAATTGTGTCTCTTATTTCCATTTTTTAACCACTTTCAACTATTTTCTGATGAGAAAGTGTATGTGGGCTTTCTCTAATGTTTACTGCCAATGCTAGCACAACTGAAGAGAATGACCATAGCCCAATTTAAAAATCTTATTTGCATTCAAATACGGAAAAGTGAGAGAGCATTCCACTTATTTTTGTCTATTTTTGCACTTTAGACCATCTCTGGATGTGTGGACAAGTTCAAAACGTTTCACACCTGTACTTGGAGTTGCCCATGTGTAATCGTATGAATCTTAAAATTAGTAAGCAATATTTTAAGCTATAATAAAGAAGAGGGTCTTATTATAATTATTGTTATAACATATTTTATTCTAAGTTCTATTCTAAGAAAAATTAACAAAGAAAGTACAGCTGATTAAAATGATAATAATACTATGGACTTGAGATGGTGGACTTAAACAGCCTTGAACCTGTTCCCTAATGTGCAGGACAATGGTGACACCAGTAAATAAACATTCATGATTCTGAAAATTAATTATTAATTAGGTTAGACACACATGTTTGCACTCTGTCACTGACTACATACATATAAACAGGCCCTTTTTACGGGTAAAATCAGACTCTCAGTAATAAAAATCTTCACCGTACCTTATTAAACATTACATTTAATGTTACATGCAGTAATTGAATTGGTTGCCTCTAATTTTAAATGCAAAAGCAAAGACAAGCCTTTGTTTAAATGAAGTAATTCCTCTTTAAAACTTATTTGAACTAGGCTTTGTTTTAAATTTTCAATTTAGTTTTGTCATATTTTAATTTCATAAAGGAACATGCAGCATTAGCCTAATAGCACTCTGTTTCTGATGTCTTCAGCCTCATTATGTAAAAAATTGTAAGAAAATTCAATCATCAAATTACAACCATGAACTGTTTTAAATCGTAAGCTGAACAAATGATCCCTAGGCATGACCGAATGCTTCATTTGATCAATTTTTGAAGGTAACATGGATGTATTCTTTGCTGCTTATTATGTCCCACAATCTTGTGCTTTTGATTCCATGTCAGTTGAGCTAAACAACAAAGACAGCATATGAAAGTTATGGCTAGTGATCATTTTGTGCACAAATGTATGTTTTTATAGAGAAATATGTATTATGGCTAGGTTATTGCTGTTGTTGCATTTTTGTGTTGTTTAGATCATAAAACCCTTGAGACCTGTCTGATTCTAAAGGTGTCTTTGTGCCCAAATGCTGCCAGCAAAGTGATTTCTAAAAGGACAACATTGGGTACATTTACATGGACACCAATACTCAGATTTTAATACGATTAAGACAACACTCTAATTAAGAGTCTACCATGTAAACAGCGATTTTTGACTACCCTACTCCGATTAATGTCATAATAGAACTAAACAGAAATAAAATCAAGACAAGTGGAGTATTCCTATTTTACTAGTCTTATAAAATCAAGTGCATTACAGACATCAAAACACCTTGATTAAACTATTATCATTTTGTAGTAGTTTCCAGTATATTTTGTAACAGGATGCATGCATGGTAGTTGTCAAGCATTTGACGACAAGTGAGAACGCCTTCAAGCAAGAGAGCACATTTTTGGTGTGAGCGGGAAACGATGACTATAAATTCTGACAGAAATGACAGACATTATAAAGTGCAATGGCTTTAAAGTGAATGGCTATGAATGAAAAGGTAATGAATGAAATGGTAGTGGTAGCCTGTGGCTTGAGAATTTGTATGCAACCATGATCTGTTTGCATGTATAGTGTGATAAATTAAAAATTAATAGCAGTTGAACTGGTTGGAAAATTAAAACAAAACAGCTAATATTACATATGGTGCCATGATGAACACGAACTGTTGTGTGAAACTAGAGGAAACTAACTGCTGATGCAATGACGATAATCCAACTATGTACTATAACATGAAAGAATGGAAACAATAAAGGAACATTCAAAAAGCAACTCATGTAAACACCTTAATCATATTATTGTCTTATCCAGGTTAATAATTCGATTACTGATGTCCTTGAAAACATAGTCAATGAATCAAATCTAAGACTTGAGTCAAGACCTAATAAATAAATAAAAAAGGGGGAAAAATGACATCACAATGCAGTGAGTGCACATTTTTGCCCATTGCTGTGAAATCCAGATGTCCTGCATTCATCTGCGTACATGACCTGGACCTGATCTGTTCAACTGTCTACATAAAGAGACATATTTACTAGATTCATGACCAATCATAATAACTGCTACTTCAAAAGTGATTGTGTTTTCTTATGACCGCCTACAGGACAACTGGATGTCTTTGAGAGTAATGTAATTGTGTTAAATGACAGAGCTAGAAGTGGACATGCACAAACAAGTTCATGTGCTCCTCAAGCAGGTCAAGAATTTAAAAGAAAGCAGAAACAGAACCTGAAACCTTAACATGTTTTTTTGAAAACAGTTAATTATTTGAGCAAAAAGTAAAAGTTGTCAAAATGCACAATTAACAATAAATGTTTAATCTTTGTATATACTGTATATATATATATATATATATATATATATATATATATATATATATATATATATATATATAAACTAATTAATTACATAGATCTCAAAACTGGCTGTTGAAAATTCTGCTTTGAGCAGGATGAATTTATTATTAAAATATTCCAAGTTTTAAAACTTACAATTTCTCTTAAAAAATACTAAAAGTATTTTATATAGTCACTGTTTTATTAAATCTAATACATAAAACCCAAACCATTTAAAAGGCAGGGAATCAACACTTTGCAGGGAACCCTCAAAAGATAATACACATTGTGTTATATATTGTGTTGAGTAGTAAAGCAATGAATAGACAAAAAGCAGCTTTAAAAGTCAATATATTGTTCAAAGCAATCCATTTTGCAATCAAGTTTGTCAATGTGTCTTAGGTAGACTTACTGATTTACTTCCCTTTACCATAAAAGCATATCTATTAGGTTAAATAAAATAGTACATTTGTACTTTACTGTGATAGGGAGTCTTTTTAAAACCTCTTTCCATTTAAATCAACAGTACAGTGCTTAAATATCACTATTTGTCACTTGATGGATCTTGGTTTTGCTATAAACTGTAAGAAATATCCATAAATTAACAGATTTCCATATTTTGTGATTCATGTTCTTTCTTCTTCTGGTTTCACTCATTTGTCAGCATGAAATGTTTATTCATTTATTTTATTTTCGGCTTAGTACCTTTATTCATCAGGAGTCACCACAGCGGACTGAACCACCAACTTATCCAGCATATGAAGGATGCACTTTCAGCTGCAACCCAGTACTGGGAAACCCATATACTCAACCACTCTTTTAAGAGTTCATACTTAGATATTGTTTGACAACTGTTAGCAGGTTTGGCATGCTGTCCCGGGAGAGAACCCTGAGCTCGGAGATAGCTGAGCCCAGGGCTCCCGCCAGGTCCATAGAGCATGTGAGGGGAGTACGAGATCAAGTGGTTCTCGAGAGCTCCTCTGTGGTAAAGAAGGAAAGGAGGAGAAGGGGTGGATGGGGGGTTTCTTCGGAAAACGAAGATAAGGGAGTAGATCTAGCTAGGCTACTTACAGTGAGTTAGGAATAATCTTATTGGCTTATTAATGAATGTAGATGGGTGGCCAGCTGCAGTCAATCATATCACGTGCTCCTCTCGAAATTAATTTGTAAAACTTCACTAAAATCACACACATACATTACGGCCAATTTAGCTTATTCAGTTGTGTTCTTTCTTCTTCTTACTATTTGTTTATGCTTTTGAATTGCATTGTGGGACCTTGATCTTTCCTCCAACAACTTTTAATAGCGAACATTTTTAAAAAAGTGACTTTGATGACATTTCTAATAGTTGATGTGATATATTGTAAATAAATGGTACAAAAAAAATCTGTTACTTAATTTTCTATATATTATTTAATATACAATATTTTGTTTTAAATCACTAAAACTTTAGTAATAATCCCTTTGATAAAATGCATTTTTTAAAACATTTTTTATCATCATAAGTCGACAGAGCAGACATCAACATCTCATGATACAATTCACAGGCATAAATAAACAGAAAAAAACAGCGAATCATGAAAAATGAAACATGTTAATCGACAGATATTTATTAGAGTGTATAAATGCATCTCTGCGAACACATAGTCTTTCTTCTGCCACCCACACTCTCAGGAAATGCCTCTCCACTCTCTCTATTTTAAAAGCAGATAATTGAATTGGACAAGACAGACAAGAATCAGCTGGCAGTTATCAACAAGTTGTTGGCGTGTGAAGTTATCTCACTCACTGCGTTCGGAGAGTGAAAGCCGCACTGGTGATGGAGGTAGGGAGGTTCAGGCCTTTGGTAATCTCGCGCCATATTTTCTTATTGATGACTTCCACTAAGCCGCCTTTTTCTGTGACAAGCTTGTAGAGAGTGTAGAGATCCAACACCTGCTTGGCCATGATAGGAATCCGATTCACTGGAGTCCCTGCAGGAGCCGGGGAAAAAAGCACAATATCCACAATCAATGCCATTAACTCAAGCTCATTGACGGGCCTCTCTGCCGCTTATAAGGCCAATCAGTCAGGCATAAGTAAAACGTCCGACAGCTTCCCACTCCACTTAGCAAAAATATCACTTTTTGCCTTCAGTCAAAGGTCTGCACTGTCTGTTCTGGCACCAGAGAAGAGAAAAACCTTTATATCAGGAGAAAGACTGTGTTTATATACGAGGAGAAAGTCAATTGGGCAAAACAATTTCTGGCTATTCGCTCAAACTGGAAGTCATTTATCATGACCTAATATGTGCCATAAAGCACAAAATAATCGTTTGGACTATAAAGAGTAAATAGCTTTTTCAAAAAAGAACAAAAGTGGCCAAACATCTCATATGTCCATGGTTAAACACTGCCCTCCTTCCCTTCGCCAGTTCATTTGCTGAATGAAAAAAAAAAAAAACCTTGGTGATAATTTGTGCTCACGATTTAATGTTAGGTTGTAATGTGTGAAGAGGATAAGCCCTTTGTGTGCATCTGAGACCGCCTGACCTCAAGATAATTAACCTGTATTTTGCTGATAGAGTTCTATTGTGCCCATTGGATTTGCCATAATAGCAATCAATACGCAGAGAAATATAGAGCAAACAACAGCAAGCCAAGCCACAGTCTGAAAAGAGCAAGGAGAGCAGAGCTATGGTCTATCAAGGTAAAAACACATCAATTAAGACTTGTAATTACGGCTTCATTTTGCCTCTCTGGCATGTGAACTAAGAGACACTATTAAAACTAAAGATTTATCTGCCTTCTCTCTGAGACAATGCTGGCATTAGATCTAAAGTAGCACAAACGTCTAAAACAATCGATTGATGTTTCTAACTTCTCCTCAAACTGACCACACAAGTCACCCAAGCAAAAGCAGGGTATCAAGAGTCTTGATTTGGAAAAACTGGTTCTGAGCTGAGTTCCTAAATGGATTTGATGTAGAGTTTACACTTCACATTGGAAATCAGCAACACCAACATCTAAATTCACATTCACTAAATTCATATGTATATAACATGTATTAATATTGATATAATATCAAATACATTTAGCATGACTTCTCATCCATTGCAAGTGGTTTTGAGTGTGTTTATGTACAGTAGAAGTCAGAATTATTAGCCCCCTGTTTGTTTTTTTTCCCAATTTCTGTTGTTTATCAGACAGAAGATACATTTTTAAATGAAATAATTTGCATGGCATGATGACAGTACATAATATTTAACTAGATATTTTTTAAAGATACTAGCATTCAGATTAAAGTGACATTTAAAGGCCTAACTAGGTTAATTAAAGTAAGTAAGGGTAATTAGGCAAGTTATTGTATAACGATGGTTTGTTATGTAGCCTATCAGAAAAATATGTTACTTAAAGGGGCTAATAATTTTGACCTTAAAATGTTTTTTAAAAATTGATTTAAATATTATCAGACATACTGTGAACATTTCCTTGCTCTGTTAAACATCATTTGAAAAATATTCAAAGAAAAAAAAGAAATATTACAGGAGAGTGAATAATTTTGACTGCACCTGTATTTATATTTCATGTTTGTGAAAAAAGGCAGAATCTAGCAGAAATAATGTTTATTCCTAATCTATTGAAAATATATTATTAAGTAAATATTAAATAAGATACTCATTCTGATATGAACTCACTGAAATTTACTAAAGAATATGAAATAAAGCTACATTTTATTATATTTTAAATAAATACAAAATTGTGTCTAGTCCTGTTGGATGTGTAAGACTATTTGTTTTAATTTTTCAGTTCAAACTTTGAAATAACAATCTCCAACAGATTGCTTTTTATCTTATTTTACTAAAACTAGCTTAACTGGAATATAGAGAAAACCTTTTCAGTACTTCTGATTAAACTGCGAGGTGATAATTCTAAAATCAGGATTCATTTGTCTGAAATCCTGCAGTTCAAACCGAGCATCAGAATGCTGAGGAAAGGTGATTTAAGTGACTGTGAACATGGCATGGTTGTTGGTGCCAGACGGGCTGGTCTGAGTATTTCAGAAACTGCTGATCTACTGGGTTTTTCACGCACAACCATATCCAGGGTTTACAGAGAATGGCCAGAAAAAGAGAAAATAATTAGTGAGCGGCGGTACTGTGGGCGCAAATGCCGTGTTGATGCCAGAGGTCAGAGAAGAATGGCCAGACTGGTTCCAGCTGATAGAAACGCAACCGTAACTCAAATAACTACTCGTTACTCAAATGGCCTCCACAGTCACCAGATCTCAATCCAATAGAGCACTTTTGAGATATGGTGGAACAGGAGATTCGCATCATGGACGTGAAGCCGACAAATCTCCAGCGACTGCATGATGCTATCATGTTGGGCCAAAATCTCGAAGGAATATTTCCAGTACCATGCTGAAACTATGTCACGAAGGATTAAGGCTGTTCTGAAAGCAAAAGGGGGTCTAATCCGATATTAGTAAGGTGTACCTAATAGAGTTTCCAGTGAATATATATATATATATATATATATATATATATATATATATATATATATATATATATATATATATATATACTTCCCTCAACAAATGAACCTTACCTCCTAACACACTTCTCACACCCGTACATTGTAAAATCACAATAATGCACAAATAATTATTTATTCTCAAGCACAAAAGCCTTAACTAAACGAGTCAAAAGCAATAAATAAAACCTGACTCCACAAAAGCCACCTTTGGTCTGAATCTGGATGAGGATAAGCGTCTTTACAACAAGATTTACGAGCGCTCGATTTCCTGAGGTGATGTATTCACCTCCTCTGGTCCCCTGAATAAGATGCAGTGAATAAAGGCCAGTACGAGCTTTTGTCATCCCAAACAATTTGATCTGGCCATGCATCATTATGACAATGAGTGATTGTGGAAGGCAGAGAAACACGTCTCGTAGCTGGCCGCTGTTAATTGCTCACTGGCCAAAAAGGTTTAATTGAAAATGTGCTGAAGGGAATAAGCTGGCGTTGGGGCCAATCATCTATGTGGCTGCCTTCATCAGCAGTCTGCGTTTTCATCATTTACCTCAGCCAGATAATGGACGGACAGTGCGTCTGCCATTGCCTGCTCTTCCCAAGCATGAAATGAAGGGCTAATTTGTAAACACAATGCTGGAAAATAAAAAAACTTTATCCATGTGTATAAAACAGGGAAATTGGACTGACCAACAAGCTTGAGTAGGTCCTCTAATAAGTGCTTGTTACTAACAACGGGTAGTTTCACAATACATTCATTCATTAGACAGATTCTTTTATCCAAAGTGACGTTTAAGAGACGCAGTTCTTCAAGTTACATTTTATATTAGCTGTCTTTACATTGTTCTTTTTTTTTTTAAAGGGTTTGGAACAATGGATTTACTGTACTGAAAAGTCATTGTGCTGCTAATGACATAAAAAAGGTTAAGGACAGGTTTTGTTAAATAAGTTTAACCACTACTGAGACATTTTGACCATTTTAAAATTTTGGGTTAAAATAAAACCCATAAAACTAGAATACCCTGACTTTTTCTAAATGTGTGTATATTCCAATCTAACATTATTATTTTACTGAACGTACAAGAAACAAAAGTAAGTTTTTCTAATAGGGCTGCGCAATATATCGTTTAAACATTGATATCGCAATGTGTGAATATGCAATAGTCACATCACTGGACATGCAATGTAGAGTCAGGATTACAGTTGACCAGGTCAACAGTTCAGAACACATGAGAATTTTGGAGTCATTTTAGTTTAACCATAATAAAGTCAATGTTAATCATTTGCATGTGTTTTCAAAACCTATATAAACATTTTAGGCGAGTTTAACGCATTTGGACTGTTTGTAGACAAAGATTCATTGTATTTAATTATTTATACAATGAAGACAATACAGCTTTATCGTACATTTGGTTATTTTATTTTATTTCTGTTACTGAATACTGTTATACTCCATTTGTATATTTGCTCCATTTGTATATTTGCATTGACTGTATGCAATTAAAAGACATTGGCTAGGGCGTTCATGATAATTGCAAGTGTGCAATTATCATGAAACCCCCCCCCCCCCACACCTTAAAAAAAATTACTAAAATTGTTCATTTGAAGCTGTTTAATTGTAAATAAACAGGTAAATGGTCAGGAATATGTTAAAAAATTATTATTAACTAAAGAAAAATTAATATTTACATTAACAGTAAATACATTAGCAAACAGTTCAGCTTATTAAAATTAATAGCTATTATAATAAAATAGAATCAAGCTATCAATCTAATTAGCCATTTCTCCACTGTTTAACTTAAACATTCTGATTACAGAGCAACGAATGAATCTCTCATTTATTAAGATTTTTTTATGTTAATTATGTTATGTTTTTATGTTTATTTATTTCATTACATTAAATAAGAGGTATCACTTTAAAAATGCACACATCTAACGTTATGATGAAAGCATTCGACTGCTTTTCTAACTTTTTATGCTCATTTAAGACGAAATTAGTTGTGTTTGGGAAAAAAACCCACAAAGATCGACATGTTTATATGTTATTATTATTAATTATATGTGTATGTCTGTTTAAACACGCATCCAAAAGCCAGGCTTTCGCTCCGCTTCAAATCGCGTGTACAGAATCCATTTGGGAAACAGCGTCTATTTATCACTATGGAGCACGTCAGCTGACAGTCATGCACCATTTTATGACTGTTTTGAGGATTGTATAGGATGGGTGACATCCTATACAATATTTAATATTTAATCATAATTGTTTTCATTCCTAAACAAAGCGAAAGCACAGAAGACTCATGTTTTAGAGGTGGTTCGGCGGTATGGGTTGCGTATAGGGAGGACTGGCTGTTCAGAGAAATACTGAAAATACGGGAGAGATACGGGAAAATACCTTTACGGGATGATAGTGGGATAAAACAGTAAAATGAGGAAGAATCCCGGGAAAAATGGGAGGG